GAAGGTTAAGTCATGTTCCGCTTGACAAGTCAATCTCTATTTTATGTTTATAGATATTTAAACATGTTTATGATAATGTAGCCAATGGTTGGCATTTACTTTATGAATGTTATGTTTATATGTGCAAAATTGGCTCGAGAGCTTATATGGATATCCGAGGGTGCAATTAAATGATCATTTGGGATGATGTATGAGTTTTGACTCTAATTTTATTTGTGAAGGGATGCATTAACACTGTTTATGTTGAGAAATTCTATAACTGTGTATAGTTGCCTATGGACATTTGCATGTGAATGTTATGTTGAATGTCTTTATGTATGATGATGTTGGCTAAGGCATCTAAATATGAATGAATGATTACAAGGAGGCTTGCTTGGGCTTAGTGAGCTATACTTGTCTGAGTTCCTTCATCGATCACAATCCCTTCATAAAACAAGACGTGACATGAAGCATTAGGATTATTAAGCAATGACCAAGAATGCAAAGATGCATTCATTCAAGCTTCAGAATGGGCTTCAAGTGTGCAACTAAGAGAATTATTCATCACAATAATAATGTTTTGTGAGGTTGTGAATCCAATAGCACTTTGGGAGAACAATTAATATTTATTTACAAATTATATTGAATGTAGATTAGAACATGCATTCAGTCTAGTTCAATATTCAATTCTAGATGAACATTTAAAAAATTATGTTTTAATTACTTTAGAAGATCTTGTTAACAAGAACTGTGGTTCTTTGTCTAACTTTAAGTTGGCCATGCCAAATTTGTATTACAAACAAAAGTGACTAATATATTAGGAAATGAATTAAAATTTAACGAACTTCAAGAATTACATCTCCAATTATTATCAAAATTGAATATTGAACAAATGGAAATTTATGAATGTGTTAGATAATCAATTGATAACAACGAAGGACAAATGATAGTTGTTTACAGACATGGAGATACATCCAAAACATACTTATGAAACACAATTATTTCTAGAATTCGATCTATAGGTAAAATTGTTCTTACTATAGCTTTTTTTTTCATGGCATCTTTACTTTTACCAAATGGTAAAATAGCTCACTCAAGCTTTAAAATACATTTAATTATCAATGAATGTTCTACATATCAAATAACAAAAGGGACACCACTTGCAAGATTAATTCAAGCATGTAGTTTAATAGTTGGAATGGAGCTCCAATGTTTCATCATTATTGTTTTAAAGTGTTACACAACACTATAAGGGATATCTTCGATCATGGATCTTCTGACAATAACCTAAAACCTTTTGATGGGAAAACAGTTTTGTTAAATGCAGATTTCAAACAAATTTTACCAATTGTTAAAGGTGGCACAAAAACAAACATTATCAATGTTACAATAAACCAATCACCTTTGTGGACTAAATGCAAGGTTAATATTTGATGACTAACATGAGATTGCGAAGACAAAATCTTAATAAAATATCAAGATACAAAATACAAACATATGCAGAATGATTATTTAACATAGGTAACAGAAATTCTGGAACAACAATACATGAAAAAAAAAGATGATTCAACTTGGATTATGATACTAGATGATCTATTAATTCCATTTATGGATTATGGATGATCTTATAAAAGATATTGTTTCAACAATTTATGATGATTTTGAGAAATATCATGCAAATCCAACATATCTAAAACAAAGAGTTGTTGTTACACCTTATAATGAAACAATCGATTTCATTAATTATAATGCATATACTCTTAACTTACTGCCAAGATGTACAAGAACATACTATAGTCGTGATACAATATCACAAGCAACAAGCCATATACCATAACTTGATTTGCTTTATCCACTAGAATTTTTACTCTTTCAAGTTTCCAATTAAATGTGATCATGAACTTAATTTAAAGGTAGATTAGGCATTATGTTATTAAGAAATATCAACTAAAATCCAAGCTTATGAAACAGTGTAGACACCTCATTTGTCCAAGATATTGAATTTTAAAATTAAAAAATGAAGATAAATATGAAAAGATAAGGATATGTTTGCGTCAATCCTAATCAAATTGAAAGTCTAAAGAGTGATTAAGTTAGGTTGAATTAAAACTTAAGAAACCAATTCTAGAATAATAGAATACATTAGCTATAAATACACCTAAGCATCAGTGGTAGAACACGGAGGGAGAGGTAGAAAAAAGAGAAGCAAGAAAAATTAGAGAGAGAAGGAAAAAAATAGTTCTTGGGTTCTTAGGTTTCAACCTCTTTAGATCTAGGAGAATCAATTTAGTTTCTAAAGATACTATTTTGATTAAAAAAAAAGATAGAAAGGGAAAAGCAGAAAGAGTTTTCTAGTTTCTTTGAATGGGGTTTATAGAGTGCTCTTCTTTCTTGACAGTGTTTGCTTGATATTTGGATTTGCAATTTAGTTCTTTTCAGATTTTTCAACCCAATTAGGTAAGTTTTTTTTATATGATTATAATTATTTATTTATTAGGAGATATTTAAAATTAGGAGTTTGCATAATTTATGTAAATTCTCCAATGATGAAATCTCAAGAATGCCAAAAGTGGCTTCTTGAGAATTCTTAGGTGATGAAATTATTCAAAATTATGCCTTGAGCATTTGGAGGTTTTGGAATATAACCAAAATCCACATAAATATTTAAGTTCAAAAAAACAGAAATTATAGAATTAAATAAATAAGTTTTCCAATGATGAGATCTCAAGAATATCAAAAGTGGCTTCTTGAGAATTTCTAGGTGAGAAAGTTGTCCAAAATTATGCCATGAGCATTTAGAGGTTTTGAAAAATTTTCAATATCAAGAATTTTTATTTACTTAATTCAAAAAACTAACAAAATAAAATAGGAAAAGAATTTATGAAACCTTAAATATTTAAAAAGAAAAGAAAAGATAATAGAATTAAATATTAGACTATATTTTATTTAATACGCCTAAAAGACACATAATTAATAAGCTACTAATAAAATGGGCATTGTGGGAGTGCTAATACCTTCCTCACACATAAAAGACTTCTGAACTTAATCTACTTCGTAGACTAGAACTTATTATTTTTAGTGAGCTTAAGTTAAACCTAAGCCCTCATAAAAAAAAATAGATTCACTTGTCTAGTCAATATACTTAAATAAAAAATGATTGATGGTGATTCTTTTTTATGTCAAACTATTGAGTTCTAAGACTTAACACCTTATTGCAAATGGTATTAGACTTTTAAATACAAAGTTAGCTTCAAATAAAATAGAAGTGGAAATCATTTCTAGTTGTCATGCTAGAAATATATACTTTATTCCTCAAATTGTTTTGACAGTAAAGCATTGCAGATGGCATTTTATCTTAAGGTCCATTTATTTTGACGTAAAATATTTTTGGGGAAAACATTTTCAGGATCTATACTTGTTTGAAAGACGAAAAATTTATTCTAGATATAAAACGTTTTAGGGGTTAATAGGAAAAACACTCTTATACTAAACCTAGTAGTATAAGTTTGATGACTATTAATATTTAACTTGAAATATTAAAAAAATTAATATTGAACTCAAAATATCAAAAAAATTTAAAAAATTAATATTTCACAAAAAAAATTTAACTTAAAATATTAATATTTAAATTATATAATACTATTAAAATTTTAAAAAATATTTTTAATGAAATCACTCGATGCAAATAAAATTTTTATTTATAAATTGGATAAGTCTTACTATTAATTACATAAAAAATATTTCAATAATCGTCACTTAATGAATATACATTTATACATATAAGTTTTGGATATTTTACACAATTGTTAAATATTGAATTTTGTATAATTTTATGGGAAAAAATGATAAGATGAAATTTGCTTTTTGAAAATTAGAGTTTACTTTCATTATAGATATGTGGTTAAATGTTATGAAAAATATTATTATTTATTTTGTTCATTTTTATTTCTATTATTAATTTTGATCCAAAATTTGTGATAACTAAATGGCACTATTTTTTTCAATCAATTCCTATTCATCATTTTAACATCTAACCAACTCCATCAGTGATGGTGGAAAATATTTTTTACAAAATGATTCAAATAATAGAAAATATTTTTGATAGTTCATCCAAATAATAAAAAATATTAAATTTTTCAGCAAAATACTTTATATAGAAAAAAAATTTTCACCAACAAATTATTTTTCAGTTAGCAAATGAACCCTTAAATACGAAACAAATTTCAATTAGATTATCTTATAGTATGACTATCAACAAAAGCCAAGGTAAATACTAAATAAAGTTAGCTTGTACTTACCAAAGCTTTTATTCACATATGAATAACTATATACAGTTCATTAAAGAGTAACATCACGACATGGACTCAAAATTTTGGATATTGATGATCATAGACAATTTTCAAATGATTCCAAGATTCTTGTTTGCAAAGAAATTTTTCGCAACTTACCTTTAGGTAAATTTCATATTTTATATTAACCTTCACTTTTTTCATTACTTATATATTTGAAATGTCAAGATATTGTAAAATTACTGATATCTTCTTATCATATTATTTGGACAATGTACGATTGATGATATTATCATCATCTTCACAGGGAAACAGCAAGGTCAACCTAAATAGTACATTACACACCTTCCTTATTAATGTTACTCGTAATATTTTCATTACACAATTTTTTTTTAGTTTATTTTTCTTTTATTGTTAATGTCATTAGAGTGAACTAAATAGCAAAATAATACCTACGCAACGAGTAGGTAGCCCATTAGTATAATGATAAATCTAACTCTATTTTATTAAAAAATAAAGTATAAAGAGGACATCGGATTTTGTCATAATAGATTATTTAATATAATTGTTTCCGCATTTAGTGCAAATTAAAATAATGTGATCCGGACTCAACTATGTTAGAATTCCATGGTGACTCTGAAGAACCAAGCGAGCAGAGCACAGCTGCTTAGGTAATGGTAATTAATTTTATAATAATAATAATAATAATAATGGGCTTAGAGTAAGAGACGCATGTAACCCAAAAAAACTGAGGTGGAGCTGATTTCCACACCTCATCCACCCCGTCCCAAGGACTATGACAAGACAGATATAAATCGAAGGGCAATACTAGTACTACTGCGAAATGCGAATTGCATTATACAAGGCAAGTACTATTTGCTTCTCACTAAACAAAAAGAATTACCATAATTTTTGACGATCTTTTTTTTTTTTTTTGTTTTTGGTTATTTTGAACTCGGAGTCAGCGACTCGATCGACATGTTTGAGCAACTTTGACATTGATTTTTTTGCAGTGTTTTCTGCTTGTTTCCCGTTTCTTTAATTGGCAATATCCGCAAATTGTTGGCTTATGTATTATCATAATTTATTTGGTTTGTGTTTCTTGAATTTTTTTTCAGATGGATGATGAAGAGGTTGGTACTTACACGTTGGATGAAGCCCTTGCCATGGTGGGGTTCGGAAAATTCCAAGGCCTTGTTCTTGCTTATGCTGGGCTTGGTTGGTTTGCAGAAGCAATGGAAATTATGATTCTTTCCTTTATAGGAGCTGCTGTTAAGTCAGAGTGGGGACTTTCCTCAAGCCAGGAGAGCCTGTTAACAACTGGTGTCTTTGCTGGTATGCTCATTGGGGCATATTCATGGGGCCTTATATCAGACAACTATGGAAGGAGGCAAGCCAGTTTTCCTTCTCATTATATTCCTTCCATCTCTGTGCTGTATATGCCTTCTTAATAGTAGTTAGCTAATCTCTTCTGCCTAAATTACATATCATAACTCATTAATTTTGCTCTTTATTTCTATTTTCTATTTCTTTCCAGTTGAAGACATGCCTATGGCCGAATGCTGATCAAATTGCTGATTGAATTTATTAGTCATAAGGCATACTCCCGTGTTAAACTATTTACTGAGTGTTGAGACTTGACACATATCTTAAATCCTTTCATATGGAATCATACATTAAGAAATCTACTTTCTTGAATATTCTTATTCGACTTTTGATTTGTTTCTCAATTTTTTTAATGTTTATTTTAATTTGCCTCTATCAGGAAGGGTGTTCTTAGTATAGCTGTGGTAGGTAGTGGAGCTGGATTTTTGAGCTCATTCTCTCCAAATTATTTATCACTTGTTATTGCTCGAGGTTTGGTTGGTTTCAGCCTTGGTGGTGGTCCCGTATTCTTATCCTGGTTTTTAGAGTTTGTTCCAGCTTCAAATAGAGGCATGTGGATGGTCATCTTTTCAACTTTCTGGACATTTGGATCAATTTTTGAAGCCTCACTTGCTTGGGTATGTTTTATTTTCTATGTCCTCTGGTCATGACTCAATATAAGGGTATTCTTTACCAGTGAGTGATGCTAGCTGTAGGAGTCTACTTCTTGTTCTTGCTGCACCTAAACTAGAGAGTACTTTGATTTTATCTCTTTACCTTCTGGACACTTAGAGCTTGGATCTCAAGTTTTTATGAATTGAAAGAAGTACAAGCAAATGGACAAGAAAACTTGGTCCTTACATATTCAGCTTTTATGTTCGCCACCAAGAACCAGTGTTGTCAAGGTGTGCATCCGTGCACCTAGGTACTAAGACATGGTTCAAGTCAAGTAAAGCAACTTGCACCCCTCCAGGTGAGGTGCCTTTAATCAGACGCATGCCTTGGTGCACACAAAAAGCTTGCCTAACTTAAGTATCATTTGCTTCTTTAGTTTTTGACTTCTTTTTTTACCTATTCTTTTAATAATTAAGGACAATTTCAGCTCTGTTTTGCAGAAGAAAAACTTGAATAGTACCATAGACAATGCTCAAAATTTTGTTGAAGATGGTGTTGAAGGAAAGTTGGACTTTGTTTGATGATATTATGACATATTCTTGATTTTTGGCACATTAGGCAATGCAGTGAAGCAATTTCTTTACTGTTTATTAAAAAATTGATATCATATCCGCTTATTAGATATAATACATAGAATTTTCTTTTTCTATATTTTCTAATGATCTTGTAGAAATTAGCGCCTTACTTCACTCTGGTGAGCACTTTTATTGTGACTAGAACCTAGAGTTTTCCCTGTGCCTTTGACTAAATTACCAAGTAACTTCAGATATTCAGTAAAATTCTGTATAAATGGATCTCTCCATTCCTCTACTGAACCCACTACTCCTTGGAACTCATTGAGAACAGATGTAGTTCATGGATATGTTGCACATGATGCTTGTTGCTAAACTATTTGTATAGTGCTGCCTGTCTTATCATCCAACTTAAAATTTTCTTTATTTCAGCTAGTTGCTTTCAGTAAATGCTTCAGACAGTTTAGTGTTCTCTTCTGTTCATTCTATCTAGGTTTTTTATTCAGTTTGAACTCTGGAGAACTGGATCAGGTTATTGACCTTTATTTTATTTCTAGGCTGCTAAACACAAATGCCACAATCTAGAAAATAAGGAGCCTTTGGAGAACTGTTTATTCTTGACTAATATGAACTTGAGATTTTTCTTTCTGTGTAGTACATTGTTCTCAACCAGATAAGAGACAAAGACCATATGCAGTTGTATTATGTTTTACATGCGGATTTTTAGTTAACCTATAATAAACCTCTTTTATGCTATTATATTTCTGTATTTTAAACTTGCAGGCTCATAATTTTAAAGATTTGAGACTTGAGGGTGGTTTTTGAGGTTTTCAGTTTTGGCATTTAAAAGATATGTACCTTTTTAAAGAAATTCACCATCTTTATTTACACGTCAACATATTTTGATGGTAAATGTTCTTAGATTCCTTTTGAAAACATTTCTTCTCATCTTTGAATGGTTAGTGTCCACAAAGGGACTTCCCTGGTACTTTTTTTTTCTTTCAGCCTAATTCCAGGTCTGGTTAGGCCCTGCCTTTTGAACCAAAAAGGTTGCTGAAGATAACTTTTTAATTCTCTTTGACTTGTGATGGTGGCAGAATAAATCTCTTGATGTGCTTTTATTTCACTCTTAAAAATATTGTCTATACATACTACTAGCTACTAAGTTGCAAGTACAATGGGATTTTCCATCTAGCTAAGGTTATTTAATGATAAAATGCGGAATATTAGTTATTCAAAGCATTTCTTATCCGAGAAGAGGATGTTCAAGGCCACAAGGGCACATCTCTGAGTATTAATGGATTACCTATCACTATCATGGAATAACTGCTTCGTAGTTAGAAGGGTTGTGTCTTAGCAAGATTACAACCTTTACCTTGTCATCTCTCTAGGTGCTGGAGATTGGAAAAGAAAACAAAGGGAAGTAGGCAAAGGCAGTTAAATCTTCTGTATGCAATGAAACAATGTACAACTAATAAAGTCTTAACCGTATATGGTAAAAGGACAAACCCATCTCTATGATTAATTTGATAATTTATCCATATAAGTTCTGTAAGGCCTAAATGCTTTTTCTGTTGGTTACCTGGTCCATTTCTTTAGATGCTAAAATGCTATTCCCTACAACAACACCTCAGCTCTATCATGATAGACACTTATCTGAAAATTAAAAATTTCTCAATTAAAGAACATAGCTGTTGCTGGATATAGTTGCTCAAACTTTTCCTATTGTTGGCTCTGGAAATCTGAAGAATATTGATTTTATATTCATGCAATGAAAAGCATCAGCGAGACAAATTTTACCTTCAGACTATTAGGATGATTTTCTGTCCTTTTTATTTCAGATAGTCATGCCTAGATTAAACTGGAGGTGGCTACTTGCACTGTCATCTGTGCCATCATTTGCTCTGCTTCTTTTTTATGGTGTTGCACCTGAGTCTCCGAGATATCTATGCATGAAAGGTAGAACAAGTGATGCACTTCGAATTCTGGAGAAGATGACTTCAGTCAACCAAACAAAGCTTCCTCCTGGCATCCTTGTTTCTGGTAGAACAATTGGCCAGGATGAAGACTGTAATCCACAAGAGGTTATGAGCCCCTTACACCCCTTACTAAGGGAAAATATTATGCAATCTAAATCAGGCTTCTCATCATTTTTTATGCTTTTCTCATCAAGATTAATTCAAACAACCCTCCTCCTATGGGTGTTATACTTTGGAAATTGCTTTTCATATTATGGTATCATATTGCTGACCTCAAAGCTAAGTAGTGGACAAAGTGGATGTTTCAAAACTATTTTGAGCTATGGAAACCTCCACGACACCAGCCTCTATGTGACTTCATTTGTCACTAGTTTGGCAGGTATTATGTCTCATTCCTGCTTCACACTTCATTATGCTCCATTTTGAAAGAAAATTTTACCTAAGTTTATGTTGCAGAGCTTCCTGGGCTTCTTTTGTCAGCAATATTGATCGATAGGGTAGGCCGCAAGCAGTCCATGGCACTCATGTTTGTCATAGCATTTATTTTCCTTCTTCCTCTGCTCACCCATCAGTCTGCAGTTCTGACTACGTGCTTATTATTTGGAGCTCGCATGTGTGCCATGGGAACCTTCACAGTTGCCTGTATATACACCCCTGAGGTAAGCCCATTTAATGTTTATTTTAATGACTGTTTTTAGCGGGGGTTGACTTTTTGAATTCCCCAATTGCCAATTTCTAACCTTTCACACTACCGAGGTTGTATTTACATATGAAAGAAATTCCAAGGTCTCCTAAGAATTTTCAATCTGTTCTGCTTACTCCATATCTTTGTTAAATATTATTAGTGCCACTTGTTTACAAATTCATAAGCTATATTTTAATTTTCTACAATTAAAATGTTAGGAACTGTTAAGTCTACAATACTAAGGGATTGTTGTTGTTCTCTTTATTGCTTTATATATGTTCAACAAAATTTAAACGGTCCAAAAAGGAGCAAATCTTCTAGTGAACTGCTATTTTGCCCTAAGAAATCTGCATTTGAGTTGTCTGAACTGATATAATGATGTTGGTTTCTTCTTTATTGTCTACTTGCCATGTTCTTGGAGTCAATCTGCCAATTGCCTTTCAGACTCTTTGTTCTTAAAGGCCATGGGTGATATATATTTTTGGAAAACTGAAGATCTTGTTACCAAGAAAAAGCTGGAAAACCTGTTACAAGTTCAACAAGCTGCAGTAGCAGCATCTACATTGAAAACAAATTAAGTCATTTGCATTCAAAAATCCTGTCACTCAACCCCCATTTTGTGGAGATTTGGGCATGGATAATATCCATCGTAGTGGAGTGATCTGATTTGGGCACATAGCATCTAGTATAGTTGTCCCCTGTGAATCATTTTATGCACATTAAACTTTGGATGTCATTCTAGGCAATAAGTTGATTTAAGAAATGTTTTTTGCTGTAGTTATATCCAACCCCAGTGCGGACAACTGGTGCTGGAGTTGCAAGTTCTATGGGAAGAATTGGTGGCCTGGTATGTCCTCTTGTCGCAGTGGGATTGGTGACTGAGTGCCATCAAACAGCAGCTGTTGTCCTCTTTTTGGTTGTATTAGTTCTTTCAGTAGTCTGTATTCTACTCTTCCCATATGAAACAAAGGGCCGGGAACTCAGTGATGCTATGGTTGTATCTAGTTGAAACAATTAATTGTTGTCAGAACATACCATAATTTGTTTTAAGGGGAAGAAATGGTTCCCCGACCTGTCCACATTTGCTGCCGTTGATTTTTCTTGTTTTTCTTTGCCTTCTGATAGATGGGTAGGGGGTGGGGATATAGACTTGAAAACATTTAAATCAGGGGGAGAATGTGGCTATAATTAAGCTATTGCTTACGTTGTCCCTTGCCACTTTGTTCTGACGTTAAAATGAGTGTATTTACAATAAAAATATTTAATTATTTAATAAGGTTATGTGTAGGACACAAAAATATATCATGATATTAAAGTTGGAAGGAAAGAAATCAATCAAAACATTTTACAATATAAATATATATATATTTGAAAGCTGAATATTATTAGCATAATTATGATAAGTCACATAAAAAAAAGTCTTCAGTTTTACAAGTCTAAACCGATACCAAAAGACAAAATAAGCCAAATATACATACGGTTGGGATTCGACTTTATATTCAAATATGAAAATAATCAAAAAATTAAAAATATAACGCAGTAGAATAATAAATTAACATTTAATTAGAGAAACAGTTGAATCCTACAAAATCAATTTTTATGTTTTTCATGTAATTTTTAAATTAATTATAAACATTCATAAGTTTAAAAGTTATATACTTTACTCTAGATATCGTAATTAAGAGTCAATTATATCAAAAACGCTTGTGATGAAGTAAGAAACCCCGAAAAGAGAATCAGATGGTCTAAAATCTTGCAACTAAAATCTTTGCTTCTTCACCTTAGGATTGTCAAATCTTCAGCTACCCAAGTGTTTGGCCTCTAACAATAATCTACACAAGTACCGAATAAGATTTTTTAAAAAATCATATTTTACTTGTGCTAGCAAGTTTTGTTTCTAAAACAAAAAGATCAAAAATTCTTACCGAATGTTATTTTTGTCAAACAAAGAAAGCTATTTTTCTTTTCTTATTTTATCAAACGGCTGAGAAGTGGCTGGAGGTTTTTAGTTTTAGTTTGTTGATATAACATATTTATATAGCCAAACAAAGTTGTAATCCTAGATACAATAGCTGTATTTTAATGTAATTAAGTCCTTGTGAACTTAATTGATTTCTTACTTTATTTTGGTCTATTCCAATTAAATCCAACTTAATTAATTATCTTTTTTTAATCTCAATCATGTCACTTAATGTGTGTGACGCATTAGGTTTCTAATATGTTGGCAATAAATATAAACCCTAATCAAATATCAATTTGATAATTAATTTATATTTATAGATCATGAACGCGATCTAGTAATATATTATGACTATCAAAATATTAGAGAGCTAATTAAAGAATTTGACAAAACCCTTCAGTGATAAGCCTCTCAGTACAATACGGCCTCTTCATCAAATATCTTGGATATGACATAAAGCATGGCTCAATGTCTACTTATAACATTCCATATTAGTTCTCATAATTCATGACTAACCTTTTGAATTTAAAAAGCTAATATGAATTTAAGAAACTAATTTTTCTCAAATTCATCATGCTTTGGCCAAAGCCTTTATACAAGTTAATCAAGAATTGAAAACAAGTGATATACATCCTTTTCTATCACTTGGGGTGATGAATCTTCTCTGGACCATTCATTCACCTTCGCATGCTTCATGGTATAACTAAAAATACCCTATTTAGAAATTTGGTCACCTCCAAACCCATAAGGGTGAAATCAAAGTATGTCATTCCCCATACAAGACAACCTAGTGTCTCAAGTCTAAGAACTAGTTGCACGACTATCACATGAGAACATATTCCATAGACACTTGAGTGAAGTACCCAATAGAGTTCTTATAGTGGGTAATGTTCATTCAACTTGTTCTTTAACAAGAACCTACATGTTATCCTCAAGTATCTTATATACTTCAATTTATGAGATCGATTGCTTACGTCGCAAGTATAAAGGCTTAGCATGTACCAATCTTTGGACATTATCAATGCCCTATCTTGACAATACAATAATCAGAAACAATTTTAGGAATATGGCTTTGATGTATAGTGATCTCATAATTGTAACAATTTTACAATTTTCTTGCAGGGCCTTTATGTTCCATGGGCTTCATCCAGTTAGTACTTAATAACTTCTTATTATTGTACTAGCATGAAAAAAAACCTCTGCCATATATAGTTATACGATTAAGTATGCATTAAATGACAATCTATATTCCTTGACCAATCCAATTGGCTTAAAGGCATATACCAATAATCTCCCACTTGCACTTAAGTCAATTGTTAACGTATCCATTATTAAACACTTTCGCTTAGCAATTATGTCTCTATTAGGACAACTCAAATTGCAATATTTGAGAATATGTTAATTTATATATTTGTGTTGTTGATTTCTTACGCAAGTGCACGTATCGTTGACAAGTAATATAATGATGAAGTAAAGTTTCTTCGCACAAAGAATTATTTTAATTCTCGTTGTTAACTACTAAAATTAACACACCCTAATTTTATCCAAACAATTAAAACTAATAAACTAATAACTAAAACTAATCTAAAAGATATCAACAAAATTATTTTATTAACTTCTAGTGATTACCAGAGTTAAGATTATGATATTTCTCAATACTTCACCTAAATATTGTGTCTCTTTCTTAACTTAGTTTAATGGATTAAGTTACTAACTTAGAGTCTTAAATTATTTACATGTCTCTGTCGAGTTTCTCATAAAAATATCTCTCTTAATTAATTTACTGTAATGTTTATGCAAATTAAATTGAAGAAAGATTTGTTAAGTTCATGCTCGAATTTTGGTTACATATGGCTTATAGGTGTTTGTCTATCTTATATGCAAATCAAATCACCTAATCAACTAAATGCATTCGATCATACATTATTTCGTTCTAAGTCTACCTAAATCTCCTTTGTCAAGGTTTAACTTAGGTTTCCAATTCAATCTAATTGGTGGCCAGTCAACTAGAAGCATTAAGAACATAATAAAATAAACAACTTAAATCCGTCAAACATAAGTAAAAGAGAGATAAATAAATTAGACTACGTATTGAGTTTAATTATAATCTTAGATAAATGGATTAGTTCCCTGTCAGGTCACACATCATCATAAAATAAAATTTAAACATTAAATATAAAATCAAGAAAAGAAGAGAATAACAACAAGATAGAAAAACTCAAGGATTGTATTCTTGATCTCTAAATCTTCTTGAATCCTTCAAATTCTTCCTAGCTTCAATGACTTTGTGGCTTGACTTTCAGCCATCAATATGGTGTTTCATTCTCCCCTTAAAGTACTTTGAAAGGTTATTTTTATAAGGCTTTGAAGTTAGGCCAAGTTGGATGAAGAAAGAAGTTAATTCCAATCAAGATTTCCTCATCAGACTACGTGGGCTGCGGCCTTAACCATTTAAATAGCAAAAATCATAATTGTTCTAAGATTCTATAGTAATCCAACTTTGATAAGATTTTTGACCATTTTCCAAGCCAAATTAGGCAAACTGGTAAACATATTGTATTTTTTTTCTTTTCTTTCTAATGGTTTAAGAATCATCTCATTTAGGGCTCTGTAAAGAGAGTTAAGATCAAAATACCAAAACATGTGTAGTGGAAGTCTGCAACTTGAAATTGCTCTCCTTCTTTCATTAGAATTCTTCTTCCATCAAATACCTAAAAAAGCACAAATAAATCAATAACAATATATTTTAATCATATTAACAACAAATTAAGCACAAAATTAACTAAGATTAGATTGACTCACCTAAATTAACTAATTTAAAATAAGTAAATAAAACTTACTAATTTTTATGCATTATTACAACAATTAAACTAAAACTATCATAATTAAGTCAAAATAACTCTATATCATAGAGTTATTAGTTGGACAATCTCCATTGTCATAATCAAAAAACTAATTTAGATCACAACGAGACCTTAATTCCATTATTATGGCTCTTGTTGCTACTTTAACAACTCAGAAACATTTATTGGTTCATTAAACTAATGATCCAAATATTTCTTCTTTTGTAGCCTAAACAAAAGGTTTGCATCCAATTATAGATGTAATCATATAGTTATCTCTTGTTTTGGAGCCATTCCAATACAATTGCTCAATCATGACTTTATATCACTTTTAACCTTTAGTATTCTCTCTATGTTAAACTCTTTTAATGAATTCAACTATTTTGAATTTATTACATTAAATATAGATTATTATCTAATCATTCATGTTAGATTATTTACTAGACTCATCTTATATGAGTAGTGCATCAATATGCATCTTGCTAATGGTTTATGTTTAATGGATGACTTATGCATCTTTTTGCATCACATTAAATCAATCTTTGTGCATAGATCTTATCTATTGGATTTTATAATTTCATGACTCTTGACCTTTAAAGTGTCATTAGCTCCCACTATTTCTATCATGTATAGAAATCTTACCAAGTAAACTTATTTACTTTCCTTTGGGGCATTATATCCATAAGTTTTATGTATACTTACATGTCATTAACGATTCATCATTGGTTATGGGATAAAATCCTCTCAAGGTTAGTTCATGTGATCAATTGGGTTTGGAATGCTTTGTGATTCATTTCTTATGAATTCAATAAGATAATCAACTGTTATTTAGTTTTAAGCAACCTTAATTTAGATTTAAGATTTCAATAAGAATGCTTCTTGACTAAATATGTCTATAATCTTTTTATGAATTCATTTAGTTATGATTCAATTTTATCTAAGTCATCTTATTAATTTCCTTTTTGACTCATAATCAAAACAAAAATATTCTCACAATGATGTTATTACTATGACTTAGTATTGATTATCATATACACAAGGTTATACTTAAGGATAAATATTTTAGAACAATTCCAAAATAAAATCAGATGTAATGTAAATATATAAATATATAAGCTAAGCATCTCATGCTAGCAAAACATAAATCTACGTTTCCTAAATATAAAATAAAATATTCAACTGTAGGCCTAAAACCAAAACGTCTCATCTTGACAATCATGTCATGAAAACATTAAATGTTCTAAAATTATTTATTGTTCAACAATCTAATCTAGGTCGACAAGCTTGATCACCATCAACTAAGGTTGTCCCCTTCACGATCCTATTCTTCACTACTTCTTGTCATTAATTCCTTCAATATGTCATACATATTAAAAGCATTAATAAAGAGTAAGGTATCATATACCAAGCAGTGAAAAATAAAGCATCATGTGATTCATACCTAAAGTGGAAGCTTCTTTTTGTTTCTTCTCTTGGATGGATTCAATATAATCCTTGCAATTGAGCCTTCGATGTCCTAGTATGCCACATAAATGGCATTTGTCATTATCCTTGTAACGACCTCTTCCTCCATCGTTACCGACGTCCGAGACTTGGGAGTAAACCCACCAAATCCTGAACAAGCCTTAAGTAAACTTCCAGACAATTTAAACTCATTTTTCAATTTTTAATGCCATAGTTCGCTTAAACCGAATAAACACAATAATTGAATCATGACATTTAGATACCAATAATTAAGTTTGATAACTCCACAACATACTCAATGTAATATGCAGTAATCATTACACAACCTCAAGTTTTGACAAATACATTTTCACAAACTATTACTCATCATAAGCTTAATTATTCGACACAACATGACCTCTAGGCAGCAGAGCGACTTGGAGTGGAAGGCTAAGAGATGCCATTACCTATGTTGCAGCAAGTCTCGATGTGCTGAGCAATGCCCCTGAGCTAATTACTTATCTGTTAAAGGAAATGAAGGGGGTGAATCTCACAGATTCAGTGATCATCAACCCCGTGAGTAGGGTGTAGATGGGAAACAAGCACACGGTAGAAAATTTGAATAATAAAAATATGGGAATGTGTATGCAAACCACTTAACTCAAAAGGGGAGCTTATGCCTTATATGTAAATCAAGTAAGTTAATACACGATAGTCATTTAAATCAGATATCAAACCAATACAAGAAAAGATCCCTGCTGTCGGAACCATTTAGCAGCAAATCAATATAAGTGCAAGATTTTCCATCTTTAAATTCATTCAAAAACTTTACTCAAACCAGTCAGTCATAAACACGCATGCTCCCATGAAATACAACATTAATAAACTTATATGCAAATCCATAAATCATCTCATACGCGAGAAGTTAAATCCAATGCCATCGTTTAAGTAAGGAAGTTGCAGAAAAACAATTATTTTTCACCACACGAAAAACTACGTGCGTGAAAACTCAAAGAGATATTACTCTTGAGTAGGAATAGAATAATACAACTCGTGAACCCGGTTCCTCATAATAACATCCTAGAACTCTGCTCCACCAAATCCCCATAGCCATGGCAGTCTCAACGATGTTGGCTGACATTGGAGAAATCAGGCAATAGCAACCGTGAATAACACTTGTGGCCTAGCCACATATAATAACCCATGGCCTTGCCACATATATCACAGACTATGGCCCCAGCCACGTCTAACAGCCCATCGGTGATCCAGAGTTCTCTAGCTAGAGCTTACTTGTGCATAAAGGTCACACTTAACCGAAGTGATGACCAGTCTACTCTCAAATCTCTCGATTTAATAAAACCATTTAAAAGTCAAATCCGGTTTTCAAAAGATTATTTCAAATCATTTTCAAAATACCAATCATGGTAGTGTACTAAAACTTCTTTTTGTATCACTTTGCAATGTAAAACCTTTTTGCATAAGGGTTAGGTATCAAATCAGCATGGTGAGTATGAAATTCATTCATGAATGCACATCACACAATCAATAAGGCATATTTTTTGACACAAATTATATTAAAAAGCTTGTTTCCTAGTTCTAAAATCCTTTGCGTATATAACTTGTATATATATATATATATATATAGTCAAAACAAATTTTAAATACTTCGGTATTCACAAACTCCTAGAATATCTACCAGCTCATGCATCCCATAAACTTACATTTAAAATAAATCATTTCATATCTATAAATATATATATATACATAATTATGGGATTATTTTTAAATGGACACCCTCTACTCAACTCACAATAGCGGGACACTACGTCGCTATTGACTTAAGCGAGTATCTAGCTAATTTTTACTTGCCGATCTCTTGTTACCTCCTCCAGCTTGCCACCACGGCAACTTTGCTTACTATACTCTTCCTAGCATCCATTCAAACCCAATTTATTTAATTATAATCATAAATGGCAGCATATCAACCAACAATCCTTAACTAATCTCATTGTTTTATCAACAATACTCACAAACATTTATCACACAATTCATACACTTTAATCAACCAAGTTTATCAACACAATATGCCACTTTGCTGCTTACCTCTCATTTAGGATTGAATCCCAAATGTGATTCACAACTCTCACTTCTAAGATTACTTTTGCTCTATAGACACAATCAATGAATAAACATCTTATTTTTCCTTTTTACTTATGATTTCAAAACTAAAACACTTACCCATTGCTCATTTAGCTCCAAAATCACCATAGACTCTAAAATCTACTTACATGCATGCCTCGGGTCCTTTGAATCCTTGTTGGTTCTTGCTACCACAAACAAAATCACACTTTAAATTGATTTACAAAGCATGCATTTCATGAAAAATGAAAATCTCTTTACTTACTTTGTCTCAAGTTCAATAAGCCAACCTTTCCTTTCTTTTCTGTTTTTTTTCTTTTTCCTCCTTTCTTCCTTTCTCTCTTTTCTTTCCTCTTTCTTCCTTTCCTCCCCATTCCTCTTTTCTCTTTGGTAGTGGATGGATCTCTCAAGGCCGAGCCTTGAAAATGCCTTTGGTTTTCCCCATTTGTGCTTACATGGGCGGATTGCCCAAGACTTCATGCTTTTTACTTTACTTTCCTTCCTTTTCTCTTTATTCTCTCTCATGGGCGGATTGCCCAAGGTTGTATGTCTTATTGGCATGTTTCTTTTCTCTTTTATGTGACAAAAGCACAAGACAAAAGCCTTGAAAAATTTTCCACCCGTCACACCCATTTTCCATACTTTTTTCATTCTTATTTTCTTATTTCTTTATTTGTTTCTTATTCTCATTGGACCAACTCAATCCCCACTTACAATTCATGCGCACATTACCTCTTTTGCTCATTGATCCAAAATCTATCCCAATTACTTTCCATCCGCCACCTCATTTTCTTACGTTTTCACTTTTATTTCCTTTGCCACCTTTTTCTACCAATTACACTTCATATACAACTTTCTTTATAGTTTAATTGGCCATTTGTTACACCATTCAAATCACATGTATACCTCATATTCCACACAATCTAACTTTCCTTGATTAATAAATTCCCATTTAACTTCAAATATTGAGAATTGCACATAAGTCCTCTAACTTTTACTTATTTATCGTGCGACCCTCCAAACTTTTGTGCTTAATAATTTAGTCCTTCCAACACTTCTTAAATTTTAATTTCCTTCTATTTTCTCCCTTTAGATGTATATAAATATAATATAAATTTTGCACCCCATCAACGTATCGCCATAATATTTAAATATATACTTACTTGTTTATGCTTTATTTAATAAACGCACGCAGGTCCCACTAATGTCATTTTTCTTTCGAATTTTTTTCTTTCGAATTTTTTTCTTACTTCTTCTCTCCCAATTAGATTAGTCATATAATCCTCCTCCACGACTAATGTCAATAATAATTAAAATATTAATATTTTAATATTTTTTATTAAGAAAATATTATTTTATTTCAAAATATTCTTTTTGGTCATTACCGCCCTTTGGCATTTAAGTTTTTGTCAATTGACCCTTCGTCTTGTCGATTGGGTCTTATTGACTTCTATTCGAGAATACGGGATGTTACAATCGTTGTCATTCTGCACTCTTTCAATACGCTTCATACCTTTTAAAGTTGATGCCTTTTCATTCTTGTCTTTCTTGGAAATCTTCTTTTGTTATTTTTATTTTTCTTAAAAGAAACAAAATGAACTGAAGGCTTCTCTCTTGTAATGATATTCTCAACCTATGTGAGCATATGCAATAAGCCTGATAAGGTTAGCTCAATCTTATTCATGTTGAAGTTAAACACAAACTGTGAATGGCTTTCTGGAAGCGAAAAAAGTACAAGGTCTATACTCAAATCATGATCCATGACCCAACCTAACTGCTTAAGTTGAGTGATTTGTCTTATCATTTTAAGCACATGAGGCCTTACTAGGCTTCCCTTAGACATCTCACATTAGAACAACTCTCTTGAAATGTCAAATTTCTCTATGCGACTTCCTTATCGAACATTTCTCTAAGGTTTAGGATAATATCCTGAGTATTCATAGCTTCATGTTGCTCTTGAAGATTTGGAGCCATACTAGCTAACATCACACATGTGGTTTGATTGAGATCATTCATATAAACTCTGTAGGCCTTATTTCCTCATTTGTAGTATCATCCCTAGGTTCCTTAAGAACAAGACTATCTAGGACATAAGCCTTTTTATTTTGTTTCAAGACAATCTTGATATTGCGAAGCTGGTCAATGAAATTTGGGCTTATCAACTTGTTTGCATCAAGTATGCTTCTAAGTGATAAACTATTTACCATTATAGATTTATATCCTATATAAACTGACAGATATGATTATTAGTCATTAAAAAAAATTATATAATTATAAAGACAAGGTTTTAGAATCTTATATAATTATTCTCAATATTTTATCAAAGTAATAACATTCTTTTACTATTTTGAGAAATTTAACCTTTAAACTTCCTATTGAGTTAGGAACCTTTTCATCCCACCATGACTTTGAGTGACTCAACAAGCCATAATGACACTAATTAGGTGGATAACTTAGCTTACCAATTGTATCTTATACAACTCCTAGATCAATTAGGTGACAACTCCTTGTCTAAATATATCATATACATTTTCTCTTACTATGCCTCTAATATTATGCAGTCAAGTGTAACACATCCGAATATGGTACTAGTTAAGTAAGACTCACCAATAACTCAAACTGACTCAAGTAAAAGTTTGGCCTTGAGTGACTCAATAGGCTTCAAATTAAAAAAGTAGCTTGGTTATCTTGTTCTATGGTGGAAGATAACTTTTTTACTCAATAAATTAATGAGAGATTTTTATTTATTAATTCATTAATTAAGGTCTCATTGATTTGTTGTTGTTGACGAGCATAACATTTATCGCATTTCACATATTATATATATATATACTGAAAAATAAATCCATCTCATGCCAACTGCTAGGATGATTATGGACTTTACTCATTTTAATTTCCTTAAGTCATGTCTTCAAGCTTTGCTTGTAATCTCCTTGAATCTCCATGGTGCCTTTGGATCTACATCTTCAAGTTACAAAAAGTTTTCTATCTAACTTTAGTTTTGCACTTTGATGAAACTAATTGCATTCTATAATCAAGAAACCGCGAGTTACATTTAAATGGAGTTGGGTGAGAAAAAAAATTTACAATCCATAGAAAATAGAGATAAGGCAGATGCGTAGACCCTAATTTAAAATAAATACCATGAGAAATAACTTTAATCATCCATAACCTAATATTCTAAGGTCTTATTCCATAATCATCCTCATGCCTTTTAATCACAATTAAAAGCATAACAATAAATGCAAACTTTGTATCACTTGGTGATCTTGTGTGTCATTTAAGAAAAGTATCAATTAATTCACTTAAAGTGCTAGACTCAAATTATTTGGTATTGTTTTATTTCATTTTAATGCTTAAGAAATTCTCATTTTCA